TGAATGTAATAGTAATGGTAAAGATGTGGATGATAATCATTATGGTGATAAGGATATTTATCACTATCATTATGACGAATGATGATGATAATGATGATAGTGATGAGGATGATAATGACGATGACGATTGGTGATGATGATGATTGATGGTGATTAAGGTGATGGATGATGGTGTGGTGATGATTATAATGATTGTGATAATGATGATGGGTGATGATGATAGGTGGTGATGTTAGTTAGTGGTAGATGATGATGATAGTAGTAATAATAAATAACAGTAATTAGTAATAAAATATAATAACGAAAGTATAATAGTGATAATGATGATGATGATTAAAAGTGATGATAGAAAAAGATAAAAGAATGATCCTAACGATAATCATTATAATGATGGTGATGGCAATGATGATGATGATATATCTGCAATGATAGAGCAACAATCTCTCTTCTTCTCTCTCTCTTCTCTCTCTCTCCTCTCTCTCTCTCTCTCTCTCTCTCTCTCTCTCTCTCTCTCTTTGTCTGTCTCCCCCCCCTCTCTCTCTCTCTCTCTCTCTCTTTGTCTGTCTGCCCCCCCCCCCCCCCTCTCTCTCTCTCTCTCTCTTTGTCTGTCTGCCCTCCCCTCTCTCTCTCTCTCTCTCTCTCTCTCTCTCTCCTCTCCTCTCTCTCTCTCTCTCTCTCTCTCTCTCTCTCTCTCTCTCTCTCTCCTTCCTGCCTCTCTCTCTCTCCTCTCTCTCTCTCTCCCTCCCTCCCTCCCTCTCTCGCTCTCTTTTCCTGTTTTATCTGGTTTTGCACTGACGTCTGCAGGAAAGTTTGCAATGAGGGCCAAACGAGTCTATGGCTTCACAGTCGGAGGGTCTTAATTACCAATAATTACTGGAGGTAACCTGATGAGGTAGTTACTTAAGAGCACCTGTCGTACGGTATCTTCCCGGCACTGCATAATCGCATCTTGCATCATCATGTCACCATCATTATCTTCATAACCGTTATTATCATCACCATTATCATCATCGTCATTGTTATCATCGTTATCGTCATTATCATTATCATTATCATCAGCAACATCGCTACCATTATCATTATGATCATCGTCCTTGTCATCATCGTCACCCCTATTATCATTATCACCATCACCACCATCATCGTTTTCATTATCATTATCACCATTATTCCCTCTATCAGCACCAACATCGTAAACGTTATTATGACCGTCACAATTATCATTATCATCGACATCATCATCAATGTGATCTCTACTTACATTATCATTACTATCATCTTCCTCTTCATCAAAATCATTATAAAAAAAATAATATCAATATTTAGTTATCAAAGTTATAAGGAACTATTAGTAGTAATAGCAGTTGTAGTTTCAGGATAGGATCAGACTATAAAGTTCAAGTAATTACTTTTGAGTGGAGCTATATGGTTACTATTATTATATTAGTATTAGTAGTAGTAGTAGTAGTAGTAGTAGTAGTAGTAGTAATAGCAGTAGTAAAAAATATCAATATCTATACACGGAGTTTTATGAACTGCATTTCTTCCGTAAGAAGAAATGTAATAATGTATGCGGTAATATGGTTATAATGGGGTTAAAATATATACTAAAGATAGTATTACTACTACTAAGATTAGTTTTTAAAAAGTAGTATCAATCACAGATAAAGAAACAAATATTGATCTAAGAAAAAAAAGTAACTAAAGCAATGACAAAAAAATATTGCAAAGCCAGTAAAAGCAAATGGGAAGTGACATTTACTCATAAGCCTAATAATCTCCGACACGAAATAATTCACGGGATGTCTTTTGGAGGAACAGGTCAATAACAAGAATCAGCGGGTCAGCCATCAGGTCACGACAGGTGGCTGACCTTGGCATGGAAGGGTTTCCTCACTCGCACTAATCAATGTCTGGGCAGCGCACTCGAGACCCCCCCCCCCCTTATCTCTCCTCCTCCCCCCATTCCGAGTGCCACGTTGTCAAGAGCCTTGATTTGGGTCCGACCTCTTTGTCTGTCTGTTTGTTTGTTTGTCTTTCGCATACTCTCCTTTTCTCTCTGTATATCTATCTCTGTCCGCTTCTCTATTGCTGGCTCTGGCGGTGTTTGTCTTTCCTCAGTGTATACCGAATTCTTTCTTTCGTTCTTTTTCTTCTCTCTCTCTCTCTCTCTCTCTCTCTCTTCTCTCTCTCTCTCTCTCTCTCTCTCTCTCTCTCTCTCTCTCTCTCTCTCTCTCTCTCTCTCTCTCTCTCTCTCTCTCTCTCTCTCTCTCTCTCTCTCTCTCTCTCTCTCCATCTCTCTATCTATCTATCTATCTATCTATCTATCTGTCTATCTCTCTCTCCTCCCTCCCATCCCTTCCTCTCTATCCTAATCACCGTCGAAGGAGAAATACTGCCTTCCCCCACCTCCCCACCTCCTCCCCTCCACCCCTCACCCCCCCCCCCTCATCCTTGGCACTATGGCACAGGCTCGGTCGGGTCGGTCACCGCCTCTGTCGTCCTCCACCCTAATGGCATTGGGTCCCTTAATGGCATA